AAGGGATCGGGGAGAGGGGGTTACAGCTGCGGGCACGGGGCAGCGGCGGGAGGAGAGAAGGACTTTGGGAGAGCCAGGCGCCCGCGGGCTCCCCGTGCTGCCGGGGCGGCTCCGCTCTCTGCCCCGGTCGGGCCGCTCTCCAGGGGCAGGAGGCGATGCTGGGCGCCCTGTCTCCTTCCGGGACTCGTGGCTGCGAAACTCAAGGGACGACGCAGTCGAAAATACACCGAAGTGGAAAAACCCCCGCTGTGCCCAGGGCGATGGCCTGAGAGATCTTTCCACTTCCCCCGAGGCTGGTTACAGGCTCGCTTCCCTAACCCAGCCCAGAGCACGCAGGGGTCTGAGAAACAGGTGTCCCCCCAACTCTTCACACACACGGGTCCGACCCCCTGAAACGGCCCCTCTTGGCACACACGGGGTAGCAATCAACTTGCAAAGCGACATCTGAGTCTTTCCCCGACCCTGCCCTGGGGAGTTTATACACTGCAGAACCTGGACCAATCCTCCTTCGCGGGAATAGCCGGGTCATTGCAAATGGGTTTGTCTCGGTTATTGTATTTATTTTACCCAAATAAAAGGGATAGTTAGCAATGCCTTAGGAAGAAAACAACCCCCTCCCCTACCCTTTTTGTACAACGTGTTCCACTGATCCTCACATTTAAAACCGCACTTGCATAACTCCGGACCTTACTCACTACCTAGTGGTGGTGAGAAGCCTAATTCCTTAATGTATTCAAAACGCTTAGCGCTGAAAGGTACTCTGCAGCCAGAGAGGTTTGATGACTACAGTATAAATAAAACATCAGTTAAAGATACAATTCCAAAGACCAGTATCGTGGCAAAACAAAGGAATCAAGTCCCCACCCCAAGACAGCAATGGAATTATACAAAGTTTAATTATACAGGTTATAGTAAAAATTCTTTATCAACAAATCCACACCCCTTTTAAGGAATTATAGAACATATTTACATTTCACCACACTTAGACTAACCAGAACATTAGATGATAAGTAGCAAAATCTCTTGTCTACTTTGTCTTGTTAAGTCATGTAATATCTCATCTTGTGTGTGTGCGCGTATACATATATATATATATACATCTATACACACCTAGTTTTTAGATTAACAACATTTAGGTATAGGTTGCCTATTAACAAAAAACTTATAGTAAGGTTAGCCTATGTT